CTGTCGACATACAAACTGTAAGGAGCGAATGGCGAACACCAAATGCACACACGTAGACGCGCACGTACATGCACACGCACACGTACATGCACACGCACACGTACATGCACACGCACACGTACATGCACACGTAAATGCACATATGTGCACACACTCGCGAAGGCAAAGATCCCCCGCATAGCTTGCATATGCTATTGGGGGCAAGTGCTTTTTAGCGAGCATCTATGAAGGCAACACACACACAACCGACAGACACACGTGCACACAAATACACAAAGATCCCCCGTGTAGCCTTAACAGACTATAGGGGCAAATGCTGTTAGCGAGCACCTATGAAGGATGGACGAAGGCCGGCACGGCACACGAGGGGGTGGGGTGGCCAGCACCACGCCCGGCCGCCTTTGTCTCCCCAGTGGCGACGTTTACACACCGCGCCAGGTACTCGTTTGGGTACTCATTAGAGTCGCCGGTGCAGACACACGTACACACATCGAGACACACAGACACGCAGTCGCCATGTGGAGAGACTTGGATACAATTCAGAACAAAGCATAGAGGACGTCTTAAATGCATCATCATCAACAGCAGCAGCAGCAAAAGCGTCATCATCAGCATTTCTACGTCAATCATCATCATCAGCAGCAGGATTATGAGGCTAATCAACAACATCATCATCATCATCAATATAATCATCAGCATTTCGAGGCCAATGAACATCAGCAGCATTATCAATCAAAATCAGCAGCAGCATCATCATAATCAGCAATTCGAGATCAACCAACATCGAATGCTACAGCGGCGGCATTTCCAAGCCAAAATAACATCCGTATCAATCACCCTCATCGCGTGGATCATCGTGACTTCTGGGTGGATAAAATGGGCACCGTTTTGTGGGATTATCTGAGTGGCACGAATATTGCCATTGCAATGCGCGTTACAGTGCAGTCCACACTGCGTCAAGTCTATCCGCCAGTGTCCTGCAAATTGACCAAAGTCTTTATTTTCCCACACACAGACACGAACGCACTCACAGACAGACGAATACACACGTACGCACGCACATACACACACGTGCACACACACACGTGCATGTACATGCATGCACATGTGCACTAACACACATGCATGCACGCACACACACACACGTACTCACACATAGAGAGACAAAGATTCCACCCTTCCCGATATAGCCTTCAGCAGCCAATTCGGGCAAGTGCTGTTCGCGAGGATCTATCAGGGGATGAGTGCCCAGCACCACACCCGGGCGCATTTGTCTCTCCAATGGTGACACACATCACCAGGTAATCGTTTAAGTCCGAGTCGACCTAGGGGGGGGGGGAGCTCCAGGACCGGTTCCAATAATTCGCCACTGATGTTGGCTGCGAGCGGGACTCGAACTCGGGTCGCCGGGTTCCCACTGGGCTAGCCACTATGCCCCACCACCGATGGTGATGCTGACACACACAAAGACCTCCCGTATAGCCTTCACAGACTGTTGGGACAAGTGCTGTTAGCGAGCACCTATGAAGGCCGGCACGGCACACGAGGGGGTGGGTGGCCAGCACCACGCCCGACCGCCTTTACCTCTCCCAGTGGCGATGTTTACACACCGCACACCAGGTACTAATTTGAGGCTGAGCCGACCCAGGGGAGGCCCAGGACCGGTTCAAATAATCGTCACCGGTGTCGGCAGTGAGCGGGAATCGAACTCGGGTTACCGGGTTCGTAGCGCAGCGTAGCGCTAACCACCACACCACCGCTCCCCCCACACACACGCACGCAATTTCATCCACCATCAGCTGTGATTGGCAGCTACCACGGCCTGAGATGCATTTACATGGACCACTGAGCCCCCCCCCCCCAACACCTGCCACCCCCCCCTCCGCCCCCCAAGGGGGGGGGACAAGGCTATCCGATGGTGGGGGGGGGGGCTTCATGTGGTGGGGGTCCCTGGTGAGGAGAGGCACTCACCCGGTGAGTTGTGGTGAGCGAAGAGTCGAGACGGGGAGCAGGACACGAGGAGAGATGTCAGCCAGGGAGAGGGAGGGCTGGGTGGGCGAGGTGTGAGCGGGTGGTGGTGACGGCGGCGGTTGCGATGGTGGTCGTGATGATGATTGTAGCTGTGATGATGCTGCTGCTGCTGATGATGATATTGGTTGTGAATGTAAATGACGACGGTGGCTGTGATGCTGCTGCTGCTGCTGACGATGGTGGTGGTTTGTGATGACGATAGTGCCGGTCGTGATGCTGCGTCTCAGCTGCTGGATGGAATGGTGACGGGATTAAGCAGCTCCTACGGGGAGACGAGATGCGATGGACGGTGAAGGTGGTGGTGGTGGTGGTGCAGGTTGGAAAATGGATGAGCGCAGACGGAGGAGGCAGACGGAGAGAGAGACGGATGGAGGAGGCGGGAGGGAGGGAGGAGATCTCGAGAGAGAAGCGGTGTAGGATTTGCGATGGACGGGAGAGGAGAAAGGAGAGAGAGGGAGGAGGGAGAGAGGGGGGGAGAGGGGGGGAGAGAGGGGGGAGAGGGGGGAGAGGGGGGAAAGGGGGGGGAGAGAGGGGGGGAGAGAGGGGGGAGAGGGAGGGGGGAGAGGGAGGGGGGAGAGGGAGGGGGGAGAGGGAGGGGGGAGAGGGAGGGGGGAGAGGGGGGGAGGAGTTCGATGGCGATCGAAGATAAGAGCAGAAGGGAGAGCGGGTAGGGAGAGCGGCAGGGGGGAAGGAGGGGAGGGGGAGATTAGAAGGGAGAGGGGAGGGAGATGCAGACGAGGAAGATGCAGAGGAGGAGGGAAGGGTGATGCAGACGAGGGGCGTGGGGGGATTAGCAGGGAGAAGGGAGATTAGGAGGGGAGATGCAGAAGAGGGAGGGACGAGGAGGAAAATGTAGAGAAGGGGTAGGAGACGTAGAGGATGAGAGGAGGGAGATGGGAGGGGGGAGAAGAGGTAGAATGTGAAAAGGGGGGAGGAGGGAGACAGGATGGGGATGAGAGGGAGAGGGGAGAGGGGAATGTGCAAGAAGAGGAGGTAGATGGTGAGAGAAGGAAGGTGCAGAAGAGGGTGACGAAGAGGGGAGACGAGGAAGAGGGGTGAGAGACGGGTGGAGGGGAGAGGGGAGGAGGAGGAAGGGGGGGGGGGGCACTGGGGTACAGTGCACGCTCTGATCTCGAGGGACGGTGATAATGGGGGCGCACAGAGGCCCCCCGTCCTCTGGGAGGGGGGGGGGCTGTGTGTGTAGGGGAGGGGCTGGGCGAGTGAGTGTAAGGGGCGGGGCTGTGCGTGTAGGGGAGGGGCTGGGCGAGTGAGTGTAAGGGGCGGGGCTGTGTGTGTAGGGGAGGGGCTGGGCGAGTGAGTGTAAGGGGCGGGGCTGTGTGTGTGTGTGTGTGTCACGTGTAGGGAGCGGTGGTGTAGTGGTGAGCGCTACGCTGCGCTATGAACCTGGCGACCCGGGTTCGATTCCCGCTCACGGCCAACACCAGTGACGATTATCTGACCCGGTCCCGGGCCTCCCCTAGGTCGACTCAGCCTCAAATGAGTACCTAGTGCGGTGTGTAAACATCGCCACTGGGGAGACAAAGGCGGTCGGGCGTGGTGCTGGCCACCCACCCCATCGTGTACCGTTCCGGCCTTCATAGGTGCTCGCTAACAGCACTTGCCCCTACAGTCTGTTAAGGCTATATGGGGGATCTTTGTTTGTGTTTGACGTGGGGGTGCAGGGTGGTGATAATGAGGGCGATGGAATCTGACCCCCACACTCCCGGCCTTGTAAGAAATCGTAGCTCGCACAGTGACAGACAGAGACCCAGGCAGGAGGGTGGGAACGAGTGCTGTCGTGAAGGCTGGCAGGGCGCTTCGTGCACCGTCGCCTGACTCGACCTTGCTTTGGAAGAGGACCAAACACGTGGATATTCGGTGGAACTCAGGCGGCCAGGTTGGGCAGTGCGCTGCGCTCACCACTGCGCCACCGCTCCCCGACAGTTGCACACGTGCCCCAGTTACACGAACCATCTTACACAACTGCATCTTGCACAGCTAACACGCGTCTTAACAAAATAACAAGCCACAGACGGTGTTGTGATGGTGATGATGATGATTATAACGGCACAGTCTCGATATTAATTTTACCCACCGCGTACTGTGATGATCGTGACGACGGTATTCGGGTGCCTTTCATTTCACCTACCCCATAACATTGACCTCACCAGAGGTACTCATTTTATGGACCGCATATTTATGTCAGTGATGCTCGTTTATTTTGTTTAACGAGGTGTGAACTTAGGAGGTCATTTGCAAGAGTGACCTGGGTCAGCAGTATGAGCGGCCCCAAAATTATCCTTACTACGTAGTACCTATTTTAGCGACCCCATGACAATGACGATGATTCTCACTGGGATGGTACTCAATGTGGTGAGCAAATAATAATAATGGCACATGCACAAAATGTCTTTACTAAATGGTACTTATTTTATCGACCATCAAACGACCACGACGACCATGATGATGATGAGATCGTGGGGCGCAGGTGCAGGTTGACTCGCAGCGTTCATTAGGAACCGGGGCCAAGGGAAGCCGCGCTCAATAATAAACGCGACTCCTCCCCGTAACAAAGACAAAGGTCCCCCGTGTAGCCTTTATCAGAGTGTTTGGGCAAGTGCTGTTAGCGAGTAGCACCTTCGAAAGCCGGCACGGGTACGCGCGGGGGTTTAGTGACAAGCACCACGCCCGGCCGCCTTTGTCTCCCCAGTGCTGATGTAAAAAAATATATTTATTTAATGCCGAGTCGACTTAGCGGAGGCCCGGGACCGGTTCAGATGTTCGTCGTCAATGTTGCCCGTGAGCGGAAATTGGACATGGGTGGTCGAGTTCGTGGCGTAGTGCGCTAACCACTGCGCCACCGCTCCCCGTAAACCACACGCGCGCTGTTGCTCTACCCCGCCACGCGCGGGCAGTACGCACAGTACCCGTACGTGCTGTTCACACAATATTCACGTGTGCGCAGTACATACTGCCTCGTGCAGTGAACACAGTACCACGTGGGCGAAGTGCACACTGTCACGTGCAATACACAGTACCACGTGTGCGCGGTACACACTGTCACGTGCTGTTCACACAGTACCACGTGGGCGCGGTACACACTGCCACGTGCTGTTCACACAGTACCACGTGTGCGCAGTACAAACTGTCACGTGCTGCTCACACAGTACCACGTGGGCGCGGTACACACTGCCACGTGCTGTTCACACAGTACCACGTGTGCGCAGTACAAACTGTCACGTGCTGTTCACACAGTACCACGTGGGCGCGGTACACACTGCCACGTTGCAGTCCACACAGTACCACGTGGGCGCGGTACACACTGTCACGTGCTGTTCACACAGTACCACGTGGGCGCGGTACACACTGCCACGTTGCAGTACACACAGTACCACGTGTGCGCAGGACACACAACCACGCGAGGGCCAGTAGCGTTACCTGAGTCTCAAGACAATTGTTCAGGAGGGTCCTGCAACGTTGTGATGTTTGGCAAAACGTAATGAGAGTTTGGCCTCTTGTGGGATGAAACCAGAGAGTCCGAAGAAACCCAAGCACGCATAAGAGTGAGTGCCACTCAAGATGCCTCACAGACATATTGATGAGTCCATTGCTGAACTTCCATATCCTGGAAGTTCAGCAATTGATTCCGGGCCCATTCTGGGTGATCTGGACCATAGGCTACGCACTGCTATGTCCTAGAAATCAAAGTATTTGAACAGCCCATCACCTCCAGTCAGTGACACCCAATTCCTCACCTCAAACTCAGAATCCCATCTCCATCAAAAGCTGCCAAATGTCTGGGAGGCGATAAACCAGGACACGTGATAGATCTCTCAACCCCACCTACGTTTACATAACCACGCCTATGCAACCGCTAACCCCGCCCACAAGCGGCAGTGGACCCGCCTCCTGTTCAACTAGCCCCTCCCCAATACCCCGTAGCACCGCCCCTCTGCTCAACTAGCCCCACCCACTGCCCGGTAGCCACGTCCCCATGCTCAGCTCGCCGCTCCCACGACTCCGTTAGCCCCGCCTCCTGTTCAGCTAGCCCTTCCCACTACCCAGGTAGTCCCGCCCACCCGGGTAGCCCCGCCTTACTCTTCGGGTGGCCCCTCCCACTACCCAGTAGCCTCCACCCTCTGCCTGCAAAATGAGCATGGGGCCAGAAATGACATTTTAGACCGGGCACAAAATTAAGTTCCAACAGTGAAAAAGAGCTTCATAGCTCATCGGATTCATCCACAACAAAAAAATAAAAAAATCTGAATCTGGTTCTAAGCCAGGATCATCGATCCACCGATTGGTCATGGATGATAAACTAAACCTTTATATTTTACGAGGTAAGGTCCACTGAGCTATGTAGCTCTTCTTCGGAAGCGACCTGGCCACAAACGATAGCGCAACGAAATGGATTATCGTCATGCAGAAATGTATAGGAGACAAATACTCGAAAAACGCACGTTTCGACATGTGTAGGGAAAAAAACGGAGAAAAATCCAAGCGACCACGAGGAGCGAGACACGCAAACTCCAAATATACAGCAGGCGTCAGGGTCGCGATCGAACCCACGACCTCCTGCATACCAAGCGAGGTAGTCAACATCTCCAAGCCACCGTGATGATGAGAGAGACACGCAAACTCCAAATATACAGCAGCAGGCATCGTCAAGGTCGCGATCGAACCCACGACCTCCTGCATACCAGGCGAGGTAGTCAACATCTCCTAGCCACCATGGCGACGACGACGAGCGCCGCTCTCCCTATCACGTGCCTCATCATCGTCGTCCGAGAACTCCGACCGCAGGGCTCGTGACAGCTGACCGCACTACACAAACATCGGGCCCGTGTCTCCATAGCAGCACTGTTTACCGCTCACGCTCGTGTGATTTTAACACGCGGGACACCTGTCTGTCCACCCCACACTCCATCTCCCCACCCTCTCCGCCACCACCCCCCCCTACCGCCCCAAGTTGAAGCAACATCGCCGTCATTCACACCCCCACCCCCCCCCCCCTCCTGATTTTAGCTGCGGATGCAAATTGAAATCAGTTTTCCAGGTGGGATCCATGTGCGGGACGAGAACCACTTAGAGCCCAGAGCCGTCCTCCTAGGTGACACGGCGACCGCCTCGGGCCCCGCGCTTTGCCCCCCACCCCCACGACGCCACGGCGTCAGCTGCGATACTCCCGGTTTAGTTTGAAGGCGTCGGAGGGCCCACTCGGTGGGGATTGCCCCGGGACCCGCACCCCCTCCGATGGACGGCCTTGACTGAGCCATTCTCTCCACGCCAAACTGATGTATCGAGCTTTTTTTTATCGCTTAGTCACCTTTTTACGATGATACGACAAATAATATCTGTATATCTAGCCCTGCCTGCTTCTGGCATGTGGATCCCCGACGCAGTTGCACCGCCCGCACATTCGATAGCGACGCCACCTTCCGTATCGTTCCATCGACTGCTGAAACACAC